CCAAACAACGATACCTTCTTAACTCAGTACCTACATATAAAATACAAAAGGTCGGTCGTTTGATCGATCACATCATTTTATAAGTGGCGCTGTAAGAATGTGTACTAGTCCATATAGTGCCGTGGCTGTCGTAAAAGGCGACAGAGGGAAACCAGGAGATCGACAGCAGCGTCTTCCTAATTGCATTAGAAAAAAAAATTATCTACGGTTCCCATTCCATCTGCGAAGCGTGGAACCTGGTAAATATTCCGTTTATGAGGCATTCTAAGAGAAGCCTATGTTCAACAGTGGACCTAGATAAGCTGTAATTAAAATATTAACGAAAACGAGGCTGTGGTGTTTCATCTACATTTGCGGTTACAGGCATCTGTACTTAAAAAGGAGAATAAAGACTAATATTCTGACAGAGGTCATGCGCTATATAATAAGACAATTTAAATTGCATGTTGAGAGGCAGACGTACTGTATTTATTTTAAAATCTATAACTTTGGAGAAGCTTTAATTTATTCGAGCAAATAATTTATTTAATATGATAATTTTCAACCACAATTGCGGCATAAAATATAAGAAGTTTAATTTTATAGCAAATTAATATCACAAACCTTATATTTAGACACGTAGAGCCTAAGTTTTAGTGTAATAAATGAAAAGAATATTTTCTTTCGAGTAAAATTGCTTTGCTATATCGCCATCTAGTTCATTTTATAGGTAGTCATTTTATCGAACAAAAATTTATTGACTCTCAAGATGGTACGTAAAAGAGACGCTAGGTGGCCTAAACCCGAATAAATTTAATATTCTATCTCATTCTCTCGTTGGTTAAATCGTATAGATGTATATTTTTGTCGCTTTTTAGAGTCGCTTTTTCGTTTCTTCGAGTTTCAAATCACAACGAAAAGGAGAATGAAAGAAAATTAAAGGGGTGGAATTTTTTCTAGAAATTCCTCATAAAATCTCGCACGCATTACGATTTTAGTATTACCAATATTATTCGTAAAGTTTCTTGGTTATCTTTGTATTAGTGTAGAAGTTACCTTTACTAACCATTTTGAGCATTTCATTTATTAAGAATGCTTTATATAAACCGGCTCATAATTTATTAACGAATATATCGCGCAACATTACTAGTAGCTTTTGCTTAATTTGATGTCAATTTTTTAACAACATTAAGAAAAATTATTCATTTATGTCACAAAGCTGATGCAAACAAGAATTAACTGCATGGTTATAAAAAGTCTGTAACGATGCTACAGAAAACATAGTTTTGTGATACTGAAAAATAAACCATATATAAACACACGTACATTTATGCACGTGCTTACACATTTTTTTTGGTATCTACTATTATCTGTGGTACTTACAAAGATCCATCACACCAACATTACTTTGCATTGGAGAATTGTCACATATTCTTATGACTTAACACCGACTCGAATTAAAGAATGTGAGGTTCGGTCGTTTCATTAATTAGGTGTATTTAGAAATTAAAATAAAATGTCTGTGCTTCGTACATAACTTTAATTAAAATTTAGAAAAATATGTAAGCCACATTTCATTGCCTAGTGTACAACGGCAACATAGTCTAAAATGGCTGCAATTGTATTTAATTTCATGCAATTATATTTAATCAAGCAGCAAGATTTGCCCTTACTTGTAAAGTCAACACAAGTTTATTAATCCTGAAACTTGTTAAGGTATTTCGATTATACAAACCTTAAAATGGTCCTGGGATGAATAAATATTTATACCAATCATTGCGTTTTTTTTTCTATGCCGTTCTAGTTTTTAGTTTCAATTTGCATGACAGACGAAATTATTATCTTATAATGATAACTTTAACATGTACATGATATATAAAATTATATGGAATTTATCCCTAGGTCGCTGAAGGACCAAAGAGATGCATGGTTTCGTTTTGATAAATGATGATGATGGTATTGATAAACGTTTTAAAATGATTGATTGAAAATACACGCGGCTTTAGTTTGTCGTGGACAAACTTTACGAGTATACAATAACGTAAAATTGAATGGTTCACATGAGACCGCGCTTACCACGGCAAAGGGGAATGCCCACCGTTCATTGACACTTCGGCCATGGGTGCCCACATATAAAACCATATGAAAATGATAATATGCAATGAAAAGAATGAAACGGTTAAGGAATTGGTTTAAAATAAGTCCGGATTTTAAAAAAATAAAGGTTTTTATTTTCACAAGAACAGTTTCTTAACAACAAATGACTTCGTATTTTCGTGACATTTAAACCACAATTAAAACAGCGTAAATGTACTCTTCAATGAGTTATTGAGGGCTGCGAAGGTCTGGCTGGTGTGATCTGGTGTGAAAGCTGGGATCATCGTTAACAGACAGTGGATATCGAGTCTAAGTTCAGGCCGTGGTCAATAGGGTGAGAATAATTATCGGAGTCCATTTAGAAAACTTATTCGTTGCTTAGATAACAAAGCCGCGAGAAAACAAACAAAATAACCCAAATGCAAAGGAATTCGACTTGTGACTATTTAGTTTTGATAATTATGACATGGGCTTAGCTGTCAGATTTGATGTTGCCACTTAACAGACAAAATCGATAAATTGATATCGATTTTTAATACGATTTATAATTAAAAAAAAGAATAATCTTTGATCCGCTTTAATTTCTGCAAGCCTTTTAAAATATGTTTTGTTTTATTTACTTAAATGCATTTTAAAAATATTTTTAAGAACGGATAAGAATAACAGTTAAATTATGCAGTAGTGTTTTTGTTATGTTCTAAAGAATTCATGGTAAATCAACTAGCAATTCGCTTGTTTAATTATCATAATCTCTATGCCTATCTAATAAAAATCGATTGAAAAAATAGCATCGATTTTTTTTAACGAGAGTTGTAATTGGCTACACTTTTTATTTTATCCACAAACTAATGAATTGCGGATATACCTAATTTCATTATTATCTTTTCGGTACTTTTTTGTGCAAAAATATTGCAATCTTTTTTGGATACATACATGCATACCGTGATTAATAACCATAAAAAAATATGTATATTTTTAACAAATGCAAATTGTTAGGCATTTCATGGCCAGAATTGGGCATTTCCATTTACGTTTCTTGCACCGTACAGTAATCATCATCATTTTCTTTATAATATTTATAAAAATGTTTTTATGCAAACTATGGCATTTAATGTCAGAATGTCTATATTAAAGCAGATTCCATCTTATCTAGTAATAAATTTCCCTGGTTAGATATATTAATTTACTTGTAAATTATGTATAAATACATAATTTACAAGTAAATTAATATATCTAAAAATCGTCAACACAAAGGTATTTCCCATGTTTATGAATGAGTAAATGAATTATGAATTAATTTGACTGCCTCGTTTAAGATCACTCGACTATACTGCTGATCATGTGTCATTGTGAGTGGGAGATGTCTGTCAAGAATTTTTTATTAGTAGTCCGGAATCAGTTTTTGTTGTGTTTAATTCATTTCCTAATAATTGTATTTTTTATTTACAGCAGTACTGATATTTTTTATATAAGTGTCTCTTATTATGTATTTTATACATAAGCATCATATTTTATCTGAGCAGACTTCATAAACTATTAAAGGACAAGGTTTTAAACAGTCCGTAGTAGTCCACACTTGGACATGGACATACTCGTTTGTAATGAGTAAATAATATGTATGTACATTGTACAGTAGTTTGAGAACTATGTATGTTTATAATGTGCTGTATTAGAAAGAACGAACACTTTAAAATATTTAGGTATTCATGTTGATGACACACTAAGTTGGAAGTTTAATATTCAAAATGTAGCTGAGAGAGTTAAGAAATTTATTTTTCTTTTAAAAAAATTACACGTGATTGCTAACAAAGACCTAATGTTACAAATTTATAGTTCGCTTTGTCATAGTTTAATTTCTTATTGTGTTTGTACTTGGGCAGGGACACATAAAAGACATATGATTGAATTGGAACGTGCACTGAGAGGTTTGTTAAAGGTTATTATGTGTTTGCAAGCACAAGCATCAAACAAGCATCCTACCACATCAGTATATTAAAAGTTTAAAGTACTAAGTGTACGTAAGACCTATGTTTTTCACAGCATAATGAGATATAATTGTGTTACTTCGCCAACCATTTCAACCAAGAAAAGGGGGTTGATAACTATCCCATTCCCACTTTTAGAACGCCCTATGATAGAAAATTTTATGATTTTCAGGCCTCATACTTATATAATAAGTTAAACAAAATAATAAAACTAAGGAAACTTTTGAAAATTATGCACTTGCTTGCTAAGTTCTATGCTAAACGATGTCAGCGAGAGGACTATTTGTCTTAATGAGTGGTGACATGCAACAAGGTAATGCTAATGAAACTTAACCAAAAACAAAAGATTTACTTTTGTCGTGACTGAATGAACACGATTATGATAGCTGCGAAAATCTATTGAATGTAAATACTTAATAATTGATTAAACATATTTTTTAATTTTTTTTTAGCTCTTACATTCACTTTCACGCGTTAACGACAATACTTCACCAATTATAACAGACACAAAACACTTACATACACAAAAACACATACATGCACCCCACAGTAATCGTAATAATATCGAGATAAGACACTATTATTACGATTTCGTCATTAACACATATTATTATAAATTATTTTATATTTAATTTTTTAATGTTTTATCTTTAATTTTTAATTTGATAATTTATTGAAAATGTTTTTTTTTATTTTAAACAAAATAAAGTAGAATATAATTAAGTATAATTAAATTGAATTGAAATTTATAATTAATGTTAATTCTATGTGCATAATGTATGGAAGGTGCTCCTGACATACAGGATTCCTAGTTTAGGAGCTAGGGCTCAATCGGAACAAGTGTAACATTTGAGTTCTAATAAAAATATTATTATTATAAAATATTATAATGTCATGTAAGGTTATTTCATATATTCAATTTATTTATTTTTGTTACAGGGGAGTTTAACTCTGCGGCAGCCCTACATCGCCGCCCAAAATGTTGCGTCCAGAATCGCCCCTCGCTGACCACCGCAGCCTTCTGCCACGCCGGCTGCTCCCGGTCAAGGCTCAAATAGCCCCAGCCGATAAGCGGAAGAATAGACGGTCCCTAGAGCTAAACCCTCCTAACGACCACGCCCCATACGATTATCCGAAATTACTAATATCGAAAACCACCGACTCCCTTAACACGGAATGTCCGCGTAAAATTATCTATAAGCAAGACTCTTCGGATAGTCTAAAACGTGCGCTTTTGTCCAAAGATGACAAGAAGGCAGTTAAGGAGTCGGACAAAAAGACCGTCACTAAACAAGATTCCACCGAGAGCCTAAAGAAGGCTCTACTTTGTCGACAGGAGTCAAATGAAAGCGCGAAACGGAGAGATTCGGATCCAAAATGGACGCAACGGCAAGAAGACTTAAAGAAAACCGAGGAGGTGAAGCGTGGGAGCGACAAAAAAGGTCTACTGGAAACCGATACTGATGACACATGTAAAAGAATTTATGAGAGGAGAATAGGATGCGCTCGGCCGACTTTACCTCCTGTTGCGGAGAAGAGTGTACCTTCTCAAAAATCACCGAATGGGAGCCCAAGGACGCCAGGAGTGGCGGCAGTTGCAGAGGGGGTGGTACGGTGGGGCAGCGGTTTGTTATCGCCCAAGGACGAGCCCAGGTTGAGACCTGCGAGGAGCTGGTATGGCTATGGGACCTTGCCTACGGACGGCGATAAGGTGAGACTTTATCAAATATTGTATAAAAAGAGTTATGGCTGATACACACATATCAGTGAAGTCAAAGTTCCGGCAACGCAATCCGCACAGGTCCGTATCAGTGCTACAGTGATGCGGCAGTGCTTCAATTCACACATGTCGGCTATGAATTTTCAGGGAAAACCTGTGCGATGTACTGAGGTAATTGATTGTTGCTATGGCTCTGTTCTTCTTAAATGTCTATATAAGTCCACTGCAGAACATAGACCTTCTCCAAAGATTGCCTCATTAGAAACATTTTGCCACAGGTGCCATGCATGGCAGGTGGGTTGGCAACCGCAGTTTTTTTATTAGTTTTGTGTTGTTATTGGGAAGATGCTGCTGCCCATCTCCTGGTTCAGTTTCCCTCTGTCGCCTCTTTCGACACCCATGGGACGATTTGGAGTAGTGGATATTCTTACACCGCCACTACACGATACTATATGTCTCTGTTCAATAACAAGGAACAAGCGACAGAAGAAGAATTCATGACAGCATACAAAAAAATATTCAAAAATTTAGAAAGTAAATTAGTAAAGAAAGATACTCTTTGGAGGAAGGCTATATCTATAAGTTTGTTTGTGATGCAGCGTCGTCTGTAATCCGATAAAAAATTCGTAGTCGCCTATTGTCGTCTGTGTTTGCCGGTGTTTGGTGGCGCCGGCACTGTCACTGTGTTGTAACTGACAATGACAGGTGTGGACGCGTTCATAGAGAATGTATGAAAGAATAATTATGACCGTGGCGGTGCTGTGCCGGAACTGTGACTTCACTGTTATGTGTGAATTGGCCTTTACAGCTAATATACGTGAAACTGCTGGGTTCAGTCTTTCTCTCAATTCTACGAGGGTTATGGATGCTTATGAAGGTCACGTCTAAGAAATGTCTTTAGTTTTCAGACATGTAGTCCACTAGATTCCGACGACCGAAATGTCACCAGCCAGTCACACACAAACACTACATAATCACCTAGTGCCACAAACACTGCTAGTACAACAACTTATCTCATAGGTTTCCTCTGTATGTTTTCCTTCAACGCACAACAAGTCGTAAATCAGCATTTAAAATTGCAATTAACAAATGTCGTTGGTACTGGCGGGATTGAACCCGAATTGCTCGCGTACTGTAAATTTGACCACGTCTGAATTTGCAATATTGTATAAGCATATTTTAGAATTGTAAAATTGAAGGAAAAAAAAACGTGCGTAAATTTTTCTAATAAATATTAATAGTCGAAGTTATTATGATTCAGAATTTACGCCTTAATTCGCCTATAATTAGCTTTATTTACAGTAACATCATAATGTAAATGAATCATAACATAATGAATATTGAAGTTTTGCTCTTTGGTTGGTTTCCGTTAAATTCTCGTAATGTGATTGTTTCTGTTCCGAGAAAAAAAGTAGGTACCTATTATATATGTATTGTTTTCAATTTCACTTGGAAATTTACTGTTGTTCTCAGATATCCGACGATTGTATACAAAGGACAATGTCCAAAATCGCCCTGTGTAATAAATGCATCGGACATACACGATAATTAATTTTCTATTTTATTATGTTAGTTGCAAATACTTTTATAACACGGACTAGCTGCATGCAAAAATAAACATTAAAAAGTATTTTACTCGACTAATAACATTAATCGCCGCCATCTTCGCCAAACATCATATGGTGTTGAAAAATGATTAGGGATGCCCAAACGATTATAATCGATTTTTGAATTTAATGAAATACATTTTGAATTTATTTCGAATAAAGTTTCAAAAAGAAGCTACAATAAAAATATAAAATTACCATTTTTTTATATTCTTTTATATTATTCACTAAAAGTATAATTTAAAAAACCTACTATACCTAATGAATGATGTCATACTCGATTTTGTATAGGTAGTTAGAATAATGCTGAAGAAAAATATTAGTAAAGATAATTATTAAGTATTTTCTAACGATCGTTTAGATAGGATTGTATTTTACGTCTTACTAAACGATAACTTACGTGTTTTTCAACAATTAATATTAAAAAAAACACTTATCGTTACTGCATTAATTATAATTGTGTTCTTTAAAAAGAGCAATATTGTAGACTAGATACAGACGTTATTATTAATATTGTTACAAGTATGGAAGAAGTAGAGACGTACGTGTTATTATAAGTAAAGTAGGATATTGTCATACTTGTTATGGTATTAACATTATCGTATGACAAAAGATGATTTGTGATGTGATGTTTGTTTGTAACGTATGGCTATAATAAATATTATGAAATATTCATAAATCGTATCGTATTTGGCGTTCCTATTTTTGATGTCACTAAATTGTCACTTGTCACTTGTCAGTCTCTCATGAAAAAAATACGATCTCAAAATCAATTCAAATCGAACATACTAGAATCGAATCTCGATGAAATCAAGCATTAACAGATCTATTTTTGATCAATCGCGACATTTTCAAACATGCCTAATATGGACAGAGAACATAATTATTGACGATAATTTACCGTAAATACAAATAATTGTATAGAAACATCATTAAATAAATAAACATAACATCACGCATGTATTTCTCAGAAGGAGTTGGTAGAGGTGTGTAGTACTAAGTTATACGTCCCATGTAATAGAGAAACAAGCCAAATACCGGACACAAATACAGACTCCGTGCTATTACTGGGAACTTCAAGTTATAAAAAAAAATTGTCATACCCTGGGATTGAACCCAGAACAGAACAGTTTTTCTGTCTGTCACAAGGAACAGATGTTCCACCTATGCAAAAGTATTTCTTGAATCGTTTGAAATATTCTTGAATAAGTCCAAATTGAGAGGTTTTTGGATCGATTCATTGAATCGATGGAGTGTTCTAAGTCGATATCAGGACATCGGATAAGGATTCTTCAGATCTATATCGATCTGGAAAATCGATTATTTTATTATAAAAAATCGATTAAACGATTTTAAATCGACATGCCTACTTTATACTGTCATCTTTCACTCTGTCAAAATTACATTGGTTGGTGTCGTTTGCTTTTTGTAATTGTATCGAAGTTTTGGTGACTTTTGGGACTATATATTGAACATTACGACTTGGCTATTTTAACGGACTCTGATTGCTTTCAAGAACGACTTACCTTCCTGTGATTTTCGGAACTGTGTACCGCCTCATACGATAAACTAGCATTCATAAACGGTTATACGCATACGCAATGGAAAGTGTATTTTGTGTAAATTGCGGCTCTGCTGGTGGCTCAATGTTGTTGAAAGATGAACAGAGAAGCAATCGTGTAATATTGCTGTAATTGCATCGTTGTACGCAGAACCATCGGTTGCTGCGCCCATGTTATGACCATCATCATTTAGATGATGAACAATATACATGAAATTAATCTGTGTTTTATTTCTAATTCAAACATAATAAATTAATGTAGTTTAAACAACTTATACTCCCAATTAGGTGCTAAGTCGGTAAGGCTGGTTTCATAGTAACGCGTTTGAACAGCGCCGTCCAGACGCACACGCTTGCAAATGCAATAGATAGTAGTCGATAATATTCACGCTGTTCAAGCACGCCCTGTTGAAAATTCGTTAAAAACGTGGTTGATATGCTCGATGTTCGACGGCATGTCTAGCGGTGTGACTGAACCATCCTAAATTCTCTACATTTAGGTACTAGGTATCTCACCGTTCCGTATATGCTAATGACAACATCTAAATGCTAACAGCCATTATATACATACTTTTTTATTTTTACATGAATATACAAACATTATCTCTCATTTCGAAACCAATGCTAAGAAATCAGGTTTATTAACTAGATTCTATGCGTTTATACGTTGTACTTACATACACTTAGGCTTTAGAACAAAAATAGCATACCTAATTATCTAGATAGGTACTAAAAATAGCTAAATGTTTTAGGAAATCATTTTTCAGTTTGTAAAAAATCACTCGGAGCTATGAAAAACCGTAATATTCGTGGTTCAATTATAACCTCAAAATCTGATACTTTTTTTGAAATATATCTTTTATGCAGCTAGTCCGCTATAAAAATAAGATCATATAGGAATTTACTAATGATCGACAATAAAACACACAATTTTCCGATGCTCTTGGTTCCAGGGCGAACAATGTATGGGAGCAGAGCAATGTCCTTTACAAATTAATCTTATTTGTTCGTTTTTATTTCCTAAATATATAAAAAATTAAAGTACATGTTACTGGTACTTCCTTAGACAGAGGTTTTTTCCAAACCGAAAGTGGTAAAGCTTATATGACTTTAAATATGTATTATTGTAATCTATATTCAATAAAAAAAATTCTAAAGGGTTTTTCAATTGGCGCAGACTGATTTTGGCGGCCCGTGACGGCCATTTTGTTTTATCAAATCATTTGTTTATTATTCAGTTACTTATGGCAAATCACCATGGCAAGTTACACGATGGAACAGCACGTTCAAATGATAAAACTTTTTTATCAAAATGAGTGTTCGTTAGTGCAAACATTACGCGTATTGCGCCCATTTTACGGTAGACGTGGTGGCCCTTCACAGTCGACTGTTCAACGTTTTGTGACGAAATTTGAAACGATCAGTTCGGTAAACAATCAGCCAACACCCGTACGTTCACGGGAACGCAAGATCGGCCGAGAAGATCGTCGTCAGTCGAGTCCTCGCATGCACAAGAACTCGGCCTTTCGCAGACTTTAACTTGGCAAGTTTTGCCTCGGGACACCCGTACAAGATCCAACTGACGCAGGAGCTCAAATTTCATGACCATAGACAACGCCGTTTGTTCGCTGACTGGGCTTCGAATCTGTTGGAAGAGGATCCCAATTTTTGCCGAAAAATCATCTTTAGCGACGAGGCGCATTTTTGAATGAATAGAGCCATTCATTCAAAAATGCGCTTAACAAGCAGAATTGCCGTATATGAGATGACACCAGCCCACGCGAGGTTCACCAGGTGATAATGCATCTTTAAAAAGTTACCTT